CCCAGATATGTAATCTAAATTCAATGTATTGTTTACTAAAATGTATCTACATTGCTCGCGTTATAATTAATTTAACCATAACAAAGCAGTAAAATTATCACATTTAATATCAGACGACTTAACACACTTAGAGTGTCATTATCTCTTATTAACAGTTTATTTTTTAACTCATTAACGCATCTCTTAATTATCTCATTAACTCAACAGATTGTTATTTAACTCACTAACTCATCTCATAATTCTAACTCAACAGTTTATTATTTAACTCATCTTTTTATTCTCTCATTAACTCAACAGTTTATTATGTAACTCGCTAGCTCATCTCATAAATTAGTTGTTAACTCAACAGTATATTAATATAACTTACCAACTCATTTATTAATCTTCTCAATCTTCTCAGTAACTCAACAATTAATTATTTAAATATGAGGCACGTCTGATTCACGAGGTTATCTAATCAATAATGTGGAAGAAAGATATGTCGTTTTATTTAAGCTTAAAAAGTGTTAAATTTTTATGATTTCCTCCATGGTTTAGAAGCAAAAATCCCGCAAATCGGTTATAAAATGTAACTATAATTTTGAAAATAATCAATAGACCAAAGCTTTCAAGGGTTCCCATGTAAATCGGACATAGCACTCTGTTGAATGAAATTACGTCAACAGTCCCATTTACCCATAAACCCATTAAATGAATGACTATAATTGTCCTGTATTGCCTGGAATATAATTAAACAGAATAATATTATACAAAGGTGATCAATTAACTCACTTCTCCATACAGAGAAAGATGTCCAGGGGCTACATGGATCACATACCTGTTCATTGATTGATTGACTGATAGCTGAATATATAGATTGATAGATAGATGGGGAAAAAGAGATGGATGGATAGATAGAAGATATATGAATAAAGCATTAGATGTATTCATATGTAGACGTTAGACATATTTAGATAGACTTATCAGATGGATGTATAGATAGTATATTCGACAGGTAGATTAATTTTGATGGAAAAATAGATAAATAGACATGTGTATTAAATAGATAGATATATACATATACCTAGATATAGAGAAGATAAATAAAAGATATATTTAGATATCAGGATAGATAGATGGATAGATAGATAGATAGATAGATAGATAGATAGATATAAAGATGATAGATAAATCCATGATGAATAGTACATCTGCCCTACGGAGTATATAGGCCTACTGAATGAATTAACAACTGTCAATTAGATGGATGAAGGTGAACTTTTCTAAAATATGGGGCGCTTCATGCCCCCCCCCTATCATATTTTCTACGGTTTTCGTTCTTTCTAAAATTTGTTTCTTCTTTAAGATATTCTCCAGCCTACAAGTGTGACTGTGCCTGTTTGTGTAGAATCCTATTTGTTGAACATTTTTAATATTTTTTTAAATGTTTAAAAGATTCTTTATAGATTAATTATCAGAAATTTTTTTAGCCTCAATTATGGGGATTATGGGCTTTAAATTCACAGTTGTGGTTTCTATTAATATCTAAAACAAAGATTAATTAACAATAACAGATAGGACTCTAGATGTCGTCTTTTCAAGATTTTGGGGTTTTTGAAGTTGAATTACAAGAAACAGAGAGAGCATGCGCTGCCTGCGCGGAAGTCCATTGGGGTTGCTGCCTTTGGGTTATGGTGAACGAAAAAAACCCTTAAATCTTAAAACTACGACATCTAGTGTCCTCTGTTTTGTTAATTAATCTATGATCTAAACCTGTGTAGGAAGGCAGAGAGGATTATATACATTTGTATCAACTGATTCAGACAGTTTCCACAGGGCAATGTTTCCTCCAGTACTATCCTGCAAACAAATATATTATCTTTAAAGCAATTGTTCGCGAAGCCAAGGGTTTTTTGATGGAGGTTTTCTTTATTTTAATTGTGAAGACGACATTTTGAAGAAATCTGCGAATAAAATTATAGAAACCTGAAAAGGTAATGATGATAATGAAATAATCGATTCTACGGCTCTACTTTAGGTTACATCGATAATTTTTTTTTTAGAAACAGCAAATTAGTCTCTAAAATACTTTTTTTAATGTTTTCTCCAGGTTATTAAATAACTGTAAAACACTTTGTTTTGAAAACCTTTTTTCTGAATTTTTTAAAAACAAATAAAACAAACTCAGTCTGGTAAGTTTGTAAGATTTATTTATCTTACACACAGAAACTTTAATATCCTCTTTTATAAAAACATAATTATAGGGGTTCCTGGTTCATTTTCCTTGTTCAGAACTGAGACGAAAATGTTCTTTACATTTCACGATAATTTGTATGCAGGATTCTCAGATTCGGACAAGGTTCGAACAAATATTCCCTTTTGCTATGATACATTCATATTTTTCGTACAATTGTCCCCATTTTGAAAATGCAATTGTCGTACAAATGTCAAGATTGAATTTTAATTTATTTTCCTTGACTCTTAGGTTTTTATGTAAACTCTACTCTATAGATGCTTTTATTCCTATATTTCTATTCTGGTAACTGCAGTGTGAATAATGTACCTTGATTGGATTAAAGTTCGATGGATAAAAAATACCGTTCACAGAAACAACCTGAATTAGAAATAAAAAGTTTTGATTGTAAAGTTTGCTCTGCTCAAATAAAACTGTGGATCAAACTGTAGAACAAACAAAACTAGTTTGTTAGTGCACAAGCAAATCATTAAGAGAATATCGTAGATCGAAAGCCCTCGAATTCTTTTTTAATAAACCCGAAAATAGAATTAAATATTATTAAATATTAAATAGAATAAAATCTTCTTTCTGCCCATTGGATATAGGCTAAATTCATAGAATCAACATACACAATACATTCAATCATAGTATATAATTCATACACAATCCATAAACATACAATTATAGTATATACTCCATAAACAATTCATATACATACAATCATAGTATATAATCCATACACAATCTATAGACATACAATCATAGTATATAATCCATACACAATCCATAGACATACAATTATAGTATATAATTCATACACACAATCCATATACATACAATTATAGTTTATAATCCATTCACAATCCATAGACATACAATCATAGTATATAATTCATACACAATCTATAAACATACAATTATAGTATATACTCCATAAACAATCCATATACATACAATCATAGTATATAATTCATACACAATCCATAAACATACAATTATAGTATATACTCCATAAACAATCCATATACATACAATCATAGTATATAATTCATACACAATCCATAAACATACAATTATAGTATATAATCCATAAACAATCCATATACATACAATCATAGTATATAATTCATACACAATCCATAAACATACAATTATAGTATATAATCCATAAACAATCCATATACATACAATCATAGTATATAATTCATACACAATCCATAAACATACAATTATAGTATATAATCCATAAACAATCCATATACATACAATCATAGTATATAATCCATACACAATCTATAGACATACAATCATAGTATATTATCCATACACAATCCATAGACATACAATTATAGTATATAATTCATACACACAATCCATATACATACAATTATAGTTTATAATCCATTCACAATCCATAGACATACAATTATAGTATATAATTCATACACACAATCCATATACATACAATTATAGTTTTTAATCCATTCACAATCCATAGACATGCAATCATAGTATATAATCCATACACAATCCATATACATACAATTATAGTATATAATTCATACACAATCCATATACATACAATTATAGTATATAATTCATACACAATCCATATACATACAATTATAGTATACAATCCATTCACAATCCATATACATGCAATCATGCAGCAAATATCTACTCCATAATAGTTTTACTCGAGACGTATCTATCCAGATCTATTTGTTACCAAGATCCAACAGGGCTAACTCTTTAATTCTAAATGCCACACAGGCAATATCTCATCCAGGCTTAACTCCCTCGTTCTGAAGGACACACAGTCCCAAATCTCAACCAGGCTTAACTCCCTAGTTATAAAAGCCACATAAGCTATAGAAAATGTTACACAGGTAATTTCTCAGCCAGGCTTAACTCCCTCGTTCTGAAGGACACACAGTCTAAATCTCAACTCCTATAATTCAACGAGGACGCAGGCTATCTTTCAATCTATATTCGATTCAATGCTAAATCAACTAGCCAATAGATCTCTGCTCGTAATGTTTCAACAAGAATGCAGTCTACTTCTAATACCGTAATCAAAGCAGAGTCTCAATCAACAAACTTTATTCAATATCTTAGGTACAAGGTTAACAGGAATTGACATAATTCAATTCCTACGATGTTATTGATATCACAAGTTTAAGACCATCGTATTACTGTTAACCATTAATTTTAAGACCTCTGCAAAATGTCGTCTTCAACTTGAATCTCCTCTCGGAGACAGCCAAACCAAATTTTCAGCCCGTAATTCCCTTTGTACTCCGTCCTACGGAGCTTAAAATATTTTCGTTATTGTGAAATCATTAAAGTTAAGCAAGAATGTTTTCATAAGAAGCATTAGTGAATTTCGTTAAATATTCAACTGTAATTTTTTCAGAAGTTAAAAAAACGTATTTCAATACTGATCAACAATAAGTCTCCCCCGATCACTCCTTAATAATTCGTAAGATTTTTTCTACTATTAATACTCATTATAACATTGTACAAGTAACCATGACCTATAATTTATGTTATTTTTTAGGAAATAAAGATTTTGTTATCGAATTTCTGAGACGGGGTTACTCTGTTGTGTGTATTTGTGCAGCCTATCGGGAAAGAATTGTCCGGGGAAAATAAACATCCCCCACCAGAATCAAAATTAATGTTCCATAAAATTTGATGATGGTGTAGTTCAGAGCAGTTTCACAAAAATACAATAGAACCAACTAAATAGTTGAAGAAAACCATTTTCTTTCAAAACTTCACAAACTCCATGCATCAATTCTAATATTTTCAAAATATTTACACATTTTTTCAAGTTAAACAATACTAAACTTTCCACATTTTCCCATATATTGTTTTGAAATGAAGTATTTAGAGAGGAAAAACAGGATAACAGGATGAAAAGGCTTTATGTAACACAGTTGCACTATTAAATCACAAGGTTTGAAATGATACTCCAATCTAGTCATCAGGATTGTATCAAATACCTACTCCATAACATTTAAACTTGAGACATATCTATCCAGAGCTGAAAACTTTAAAATGCTGGATATTGAGATTAATGCTTGACCCTCTCTTTTACTTAATATCGAGACTAACTTAATCTTGTACTTGTATCCTGAAAAGTGTATAAAATTCAACCAATCAGAGTCGCACATATAAAGCTGATAAATTTGAAATTTTGCGCGACATTTAAGATTATATACAGAAACGGGAGGGACTCTCTAAATTTAAAAAAAAACGATTTTTGATTTTTCTCTACTATATCCAAGAAAGAATAGTTTAAGGAAAAAGTCAAAAGTGTGTCCATTGAATACTCAGATTAAGGAATTGGTATTCGGGATATCTCATTCTAAAGTTTTCAGCTCAGGTCTACTCATTACCAAGATCAACTAGGACTAACTATTCGTTTCTGAATGCCAAAAAGGCAATATCTCAACCAGGCTATACTCTCCGGTTCCAAAGGATGCACAATCCCAAATCTCAACCAGGCTCAACTCCCTAGTAATAAAATCCACACAGGCTATTGAAATTGCTACGCAGGCATTTTCTCAATCTGATGTTATTGATATCACATGATTAAGACCATCGCATTACGTGTTTATCGCAAAGTTAAAGTTTAAGGTATGAATTTAAAGGATTAAAGAGAATAGATATAACGTGCACCTAATCTATCTCTGCCCATATTTTATAGCGTATGTGGCATAATTTTAGCTAATCATGTTAAATATTCAATTTAAACGCAGTTGCAATGAATAATCTATTTGTGCTATGTTTAACACATTAAATCATTTACGATGTACAAGTTTACAGAATATCATGTTTGCACGCTTTTTGCTTCAGGATCACCCAAATCAATAGACATAAGAAAAAAGTCTATGGGAAATTGCTGGTAGGACTTGGCGACCTGGTATCTCTAAATAGTTTTGAATTTACGTCAATGTATGTGAAAGGTTTATATAACTTTTTTTCTTCTTATGAGCTCTCTATTGTGGAGTAAAGACTGAAAACATGTATAAGCTCGTAACTTGTAACTAAGCGGCCATACAAATTGAGGAAATTGCAACATACTACTTAGACCGTAAAAAAATCAATTTAATTTCAAACAAATCATTTAGATATTACAACCTATAGTCATCGATTATCTTTCGCCACATTTATATATAGTTTATATTTTATAATATTTTTTTTTTAGAAAACGTTTTCAACGGATTTCGAAAATTGTGAGTGGTGTGTGGCATTCTTAGATAGTTGCGCAAGCGACAAAAGAAATAAACAAATTAATTTAAAAATATTAAATAAATTAAATTGATTTTTTTTACGGTCTAAGTCGTATGTTGCAATTTTCTCAATTTGTATGGCCGCTAAGTTATTCGGTATGAAACGTCTTTAACAATTTTCTCCTTATAGACGCAACAGATAGAAGTAAGATTAGTAGCGATCAAAAGCGCTTTTTTATCGCACTAAGCCTATACGATGCTATCTCATTTGGACTACTGCCGTTTGAACTATTGTTCATTTGAACTATTGTTCATTTCAACTACTGCACGTGGGACCACGTGAAGAAAGGAATCGAATGAAAGGAACTATGAAGTGAGTGCTCTGATCAGAAAGGAATCGAATGAAAGGAACTATGAAGTGAGTGCTCTGATCAGAAAGGAATCGAATGAAAGGAATTCTATGAGGTGAGGGCTCTGATCAGAAAGGAATCGAATGAAAGGAACTAGAATTAAGTGAGTGCTCTGATCAGAAAGAAATGGAATGAAAGGAACTATGAAGTGAGTGCTCTGATTAGAAAGGATCGAATGAAAGGAACAATGAAGTGAGTGCTCTGATCAGAAAAAACGAATGAAAGTAACTAGAAATGAGTGCTCTAATCAGAAAGAAATCGAAGGAAAGGAACTAGAAGTAAGTGTTCTCATCAGAATTAAATCAAATGAAAGGAACTAGACATTCGTATTGAGTAAAGCTTTTTTAATGAATGTTTTTTTATTAAAGTGAGATTATAAAGAATTCTTTTACTGGGGGGCACGCGTAGGGGCGTGGGGCCAGAAGGTCGGGGGGCTCGGCCCCCCCCCCTCATACGCCCCTGGGTAGGTAAGTATCAGGACAGATCTATAGTTAGGCGCGGATATAACATAATCCATAATTCCCCATGGAAATTGAAAAAAGACGACATCATAGGGACATCAATAAAAATGAGAATAAAACTTAACACTGATTTAAAAATATTATTTTTTCTTAAATATGGTCTTGATGACTCATTTGTTGGTGAAAGTGCAAGCATTAACGAATGCAATTGTTTGTTTTGATTTAGGTTTTGGTTTAGTTTATAAAGTACGGAAAACAAGCTGTGGCCAGCTGTTCTGAAAAACAAAGATCAGCTGAGATATATTACTCCGCCGGTTAAATCTGACGTTTGGCAAGGTTCACGAAAAATACAAACAAATAGTTCTAAGACAATTCCTCCATATCTTCCCTTTTCATTCATAATCCAGTAACTTTTATACCAAATCATTCAAATAACCTTAAAAACATTTATTAATGTTAATAAAAATAAGTTTTTTTTTAAAAATAGTTAACATTTTCATATTTCCTTCTTTAAGAAACTACTCGATATAAATTTCTTTATTAAGGTCAAAGTTCTCCTACGTAGTTACAAGTCTACACTCTCTGAATGGTATTTTGTGAATTAAACAAGACGCAGTCTGAACCCCAGTGTATTGGAATGAACCCTGAATATTGAATAAACCTAAAACTTGAAACCTTCTGTAGAAATCCACCATGTCGTCCCCCAGCGCAGGAAAGAGGAGAATGGACACAGATGTCATTAAACTGATCGAGTCCAAGCACGAAGTGACGATAATGAGCGGCCTGGACGAGTTCACGGTCAAGTTTTTTGGTCCCAAGGGAACACCTTACGAAGGAGGTGTTTGGAAGGTTCGAGTACATTTGCCTGAACAATACCCGTTCAAGTCCCCTTCAATTGGGTTCATGAATAAGGTTAGAATTTATCATTTTTTTCTCAAGGAAGATGTTTTTTTCTCAAAGATTTTAATTCTGGTAACTTTCAAGTATAATATAGAATACTGCATCTAGTATAAATACTGTTTTTGATAAATATATATTCAGTCAGTTTATTTGGTCTTATTCATTTGGTCTTATTCCTTTCGTCGCTACATTTTGGTGACCCCAACATGATTCTTTTGTTGGAATTAAATCCTCTCGTTGAAGCGCCCGAAATTGGTTTCTACCGAGTCCCTGCTCTTTTCATACTCAAACACCAAAGTAAGGTTCTGACGATAGAGTGTTCTTTTTCAGTTTAGTAGTGATGTCGACCAATAATGAGGTATCTTCACCCCCTGATGGTCAGTTATCCCTTACCAGGGTATCTGTCAAGCTTCCCACCTTCTGGACGGACTCCCCCGAGGTGTGGTTCCTTCAGGCTGAGGCCCAGTTTGGGATCAAGCGCGTGACGACTTCTCTAACCAAGTTTCACCACTGTGTTGCAGCCCTTCCCCAGGACGTTGCCACTCGCCTCATAGATCTGATCCTTAAGCCAACTTCAGATCCCTATGCAACCATGAGAACCCGCTTTATCCAGATGTACACTCTCAGTAATTTCCAGAGGTATCAGGCTCTCCCAGAGTATCCCGGTTCTGACTGATCAAAGACCCTCAGAACTCATGGATAAAATGTTATTAATCCTCCCTGAAGATGAGAAACCTGGTTTCTTTTTCTTAGGCCTGTTTATGGATCGTCTCCCTGCAGATATTCATTCCCATCTACTGACAGAATCGATTGCTGACCCTAGACGGATGGCTACCAGAGCAGACGAACTATGGACAATTTGTGGAAGAGTTAATGCCGTCCATGCAGTTTCGTCTCAAGACTACAGACCAATGGAGGATGTATCGCTGGTATCTCGAAGCTCCAGAACCAGGTCCTCTTCTAGTCGCACTAGAACCAGCAGTCCAGGGTGATCTACATCCTCATCTACCTCCTCAGAGTGCTGGTATCATCGCAAGTGGGGAAACCAGGCTAACCAGTGCAGGTCGCCATGTTCTTTTTCGGGAAACTAGTTAACGGAAGGCTGCAGCTGGTCTCCTATGTCCTTTAACTGAGGCTCTCAAAAGTAAATCTTCAACTCTAACCTGGGACCTAGAGATGAACCAATCCTTTGCAGCTGCCAAATCCATCCTGTAAGACTGCTCCAACATGAGATCCAGAGGCATCCACGGATAAGGATATCCTGGTTCACCCTGATCCCTCCGCCAGGATATCCTTATCCGTGGATGCCTCTGGATCTCATGTTGGAGCAGTCTTACAACAAGAAGTATCTGGTTCCTGGGCCCCTCTGGCGTTTTATTCCAAGAAATTATCCGCCCCAGAATGCAAGTATTTCGCCTTCGACCGTGAATTGTTCGCTGCCTACTCTTCTCTCCGACACTTCCGCTTCATGCTAGAAGGTAGTTTATTTTGTTCACTGACCACAAACCATTGACGTATGCGTTGTTTAGAACATCTCCGCACTGGTCCGCCATGCAGCAAAGGAGATTATCGTTCCTGTCTGAGTTCAACTGTGAGATCCTTCATCTTCCTGGTCCGGAGAATGTAGTTGCTGATGCCCTGTCCCGTCCAGAGTCCAGCAATGTTCCACACAATCCTCCGCCAACGACTTTAATATCCGAACTCCAACCAGTTGCTCCGCCTCCAGTTCCAGGAATATCGTTCTCCGAAATGTCTATCCTACAGCAGTCCTGCCCAAAGATTGAGGTACTCAGACGTTCATCAACTTTATCTGTTATTTCTGTTCCGTTCTCAGGTTCCATCCTACTCTGTGACACGTCCATGGGCAACCTCCGCCCCCTGGTTCCAGAGAAGATGAGAAGGTTGGTTTTCTCGTCAATTCACAATATCTCTCATCCTGGTGTACGTGCGTCTAGAAGATTAATTTCAAGAAGTTTTGTGTGGGAAGGTTTGTCCAGGGTTGTTAACTTATGGTCTTCAATCCTGCCTGGATTGTCAACGGAGCAAGATTCAAACCCACATCAAGTCTCCCATCCAACCTATACCTGTTCCTGGACGGAGGTTTTCTCATCTCCATGTAGATCTAGTTGGCCCCTTACCTCAATCCTCTGGGTTTAATTTCTTGTTTACCATTGTGGACAGAACAAGTGGATGGCCGGAAGCAATACCTCTCCAATCCACAACAGCAGAGGAATGTGCCAAGGTTTTACTCCGATCCTGGATTCCAACATTTGGAGTTCCGTCTGTAATTACCTCTGATCGTGGAGCACAATTCACAAGTTCTATCTGGACTAATCTCTGCAAGTTCCTGGGAATTATTCACTCACCAACAACGTCCTTCCACCCACAGTCTAATGGCCTGGTTGAGAGATTCCATCGCCGTCTTAAGGTATCCCTGAGAGCTAGATTGTCCGGAGCAGACTGGTTTGATCATCTTCCCCTGGTATTACTCGGTCTTCGTAGTGTTCCCAGAGAAGATTCCGCCATCTCCGCATCCGAAACCCTTTTTTGGTTCTCTTTTGGTGTTGCCTGGAGAATTCCTGGACAGTCCAGAGTTACCTTCCTCGGAGTATCTCCGGAGATTGCAATCAGTCCTGAAGAACAGTTTCACAGTCCTTCCTCATCATTCTACAGTTCCGTCCCTGAAACCAGATGAGATTCCTCCCAGTTTAGTTTCCTGTTCTCATGTGTTCATCAGGGAAGATACATCTAAGCCTCCAGTTGTCTCCGCTTTACAGAGGACCTTATCTAGTGCTTTCCAAGTATCCAAAGTATTTTCAAGTCCAGATTGGTTCTAAGTCCTACTCCCCAACTCCGTGGACCGATTCAAACCTGTTCTTTCTGATCGTCCTCTGGTTCCACAGTTGCCTCCTCGACATGGAAGACCTCCGTTGGCTCCGGCTCCGTTGGCTCCGGCTCCGTCACCTCCAGCTCTGTTGGCTCCAACCTCTCCAGCACCTCTCCAGAGAGCCCAGAGAATGAAGAAGAGAGTTAGATTCTCACCTCAACAGCCTTCTCCTCTCCCAGTTTGACGAAACCCTCAAAGATAAGTCCGAGATAAACATCGAGCTCTTCATCAACTTCATCACCTCGATGCTGGGGGGACCCCTGTGGCGCCCCTGGATTCCTGGAATGCAGTACACAGCATATTCCATACTTCACATGTTATTGTTAAGATTATGATATACTGCATCTAGTATAAATGCTGTTTTTGATAAATATATATTCAGTCAGTTTATTTGGTCTTATTCATTTGGTCTTATTCCTTTCGTCGCTACACTATTATCATTTGAATTATTTATTGAATCAATCATTAAATCATTTAATAAATCAATCAATAAATCATTCAATAAATCATTCAGTGAATCATTCAGTGAATCATTCAATAAATCTGTCATTGAAATATTCATCCTACTATTCATTGAATCAGTCAATAAGTCATTCATTGAATCATTCATCCCATGGATTTAATGCAAGGAAAGTTATTTCAGAAGTGTTTGCATCTTTTGTACTGCAGTGTACTGTATCTGGGCGGTAATGTAAACACAAGACGGATGTTACAGCCTGACATGGGATCCATTTTTCACATAAAAAAATCAATGAAATATTCTGGTCATTGGAAACTATTATGTGAATTATCAAAATTATCAAATTTAATGCTTTTAACCTCTTCGGATACAAGACGAACACTGATGCATCTATTCTTGTTTACAAATTCCACCAAAAGAGAACTGATTTCAATATGTACGCACAGTATACACGACCACAATTAACTTTCCTTGCATTACACCCTTGATTCATCCTATTATTCATTGAATCAATCAATAAATCATACAGTAAATTATTCTAAATCAATGAATAAATCATGTAATTAATTCTTCAATAAATCCTTCATCAAATCCTTCAATAAATCATTCAATAAATCCTTTAAAAACTCTTCAATAAATCATTTAAGAAATCATTAAAAAAATGTTTCAATACAACTTTTAATAAGTCATTCAATAAATCCTGCAATAAATCCTTTAACAAATCCTTTAATAAATCCTTTAATAATTTCTTCAATAAATTCTTTAATAAATCCTTCAATAAGCACTTCAATCAATTAATCTTTAGTAAATTATTCAATAAATCATTTAAGAAATCTTTCAAGAAATCCTTTAATAAATCCTTTAATAAATCCTCTAATAAAACCTTTAATAAATCCTCTAATAAATCTTTTAATAAATCCTTTAATAAATCCTTTAATAAATTCTTTAATAAATCCTTTAATAAATCATTCAATAAATAATTTAATAAATTCTTCAATAAATCCTTTAATAAATCCTTCAATAAGCACTTCAATAAATCTTTATTAAATTATTCAATGAATCATTTAAAAAATCTTTCAATAAATCCTTTAATAAATCCTTTAATAAATTCTTTAATAAATTCTTTAATAAATCCTTTAATAAATCCTTTAATAAAACCTTTAATAAAACCTTTAATAAATTCTCTAATAAATCTTTTAATAAATTCTTTATTAAATCCTTCAATAAATCCTTTAACAAATCCTCTAATAAATCTTATACCCCTATTGTATTAATCAATAAATTATCTATTTTTGCCTGATTTTTAATTTAACTCAGCAAATCTATTTTTCTAGTTAATTATTTATTATAAATAAATTTTCAATTAGTTAAATGATCATTAAAGTCACGAAATTGATTGATGATTTTTCAGGTTTTTCATCCGAACATTGATGAAGTTTCTGGCACAGTCTGCTTGGATGTTATTAACCAGGTATAACCTCCTTAATAGTGGAAATTAAAACCCGAAAAACCCGAAAGATGTTTAACTCTAGAAAAATTAGATTAAAGCAAAAACTTCCTGATTGTAAGACCTTTTTATTTATTATTTAGAAAAATTTAAGTAAAACAATTACAAATTATGAAGGGTTAAATTGAAACAAAAGTTGAACAAATTTAGAAGTTAATTTTTTAAAATCTATTATGTCATTGTAATAAGTATTATTAAGTACGAAAAGTGTTTGCGGGGATATAGACTTTTTCTAGAAAATTTAAAATCTCTGCAAAATTTGTTTCGCACGCATGCTTATCATTAAAATAACATTTATGGTTTTACCTCAAGTTTTTAATCACCCTACAATGTGAAATGCAGTTCAAAGTAGAATTCTTAAGACATCGTAAGAATTTTTAAAATGTCGTCTTCTTAACCAACTGATAATGGAATGCTGCAGATATTTATTTTTTTAATTGACTATTTTTAAATTGTTCCAACATGTTTCATGGATAATTATTTATTCACACAATTACTAAGATTTAGATAATGATTATTTACAATTACTTTACAAAAGGAATCTTACTTCGCTAAGGGTTCCCAAAATCAATTTTGCCTACAACACATCCAGAGCGCAGCAAGGGATGTTTTGTAGGCAAAAATTGGTCGTGGCCGTGGTTAAATGAAATGTTTGATTTCACCAAAAGTGGTTGTACACAATTTATCGTCTTTTGAGATGAAATGCGCGATTTTTTTATGAAAACTTTGCAGAACGGGTCACTATTTTACTTAATTGTACCAAGGGACGTGAAGTAACTCGAAGTCCCTCTGTTGGGGGAATCATGGGTCGGTATTGTTGGTCATCAAAGGGCGGTTCAAGATGTTATTCGTGTGTAGGCCTGGACAGCTCTGTATGATCTGAGCAACATCTTTGAATCCTTTCTTCCCCAACTCCTGACCTATCCCAATCCAACAGATCCGCTCAATGGAGACGCTGCAGCCATGTATCTACACAGGTAACAGATAACCTTGACGGGATCTATTTACTTTAAAAATCGGGCAATTTTATCTTTACATGGAGGGTCACTTAGAATTACGATTTCAGTTCCTCTAACCCTGGGACAAAATTATTTTTTTTCTTCAAAAATTACAACATGCAGAAAAAAGTTTTCAATCAAACTTAAAAAATATATTGAAATTTTTTTATGATTTTTAAAAACTGGGTCAGCGCAAGCTCTTTTAAAAATCAACAATCACTAAGGGAGGTCGATTTTTAAATTTTTTCGAAATATGTCGATATTGGTGTCTAAAGTTGCATATCTAACCACTAAATATTGCCTAGATTTTTTGAAATTATGAAAATTGGTTGATCTAGGGCCGACTAACTATTATTTATGGAGGAATCGGCAAATTTCCAATAAAATGTTAATTTTTTGCATATAACTCATTCAATTTTTAACTGATTTTAATGAATTTAACATTATTAAACTCAGCGTTTTAATATTAATTTTATGTTACCCATATCGACTAATTTTGAAAGAAAGAAAATTTAGCTTGCTATTGAGAACAAATGTTCACATGTTTTTACTATAGAAACTTTTAAGACACGTGCTGAAAGGACCTGAACATGTTTATTAAAAAAGTGATTGTCCCACCCTTATTTAAACTGTACAGGCCTGAGGAGTACAAGAAGAAGGTGTCTGAGTACGTTAAGAAATATGCAACAGAGGAGGCTCTACGAGATCCTTCTCAGGTATAGTTTTGTTTGTCGTTTAAACTTCCAATGTTTTATTAAACTTTCAAATATCTTTTTCCTAAAAAAATGGAAAACGATCACAAAAACGATCCAGAAACGGTCGTTATCATTATAACATTTGTTCTTGTATAGTATTATATTTTTTTTAATTGAGAAGTTGGGTCTAGATTTAGTTCTTTTAGAAAATGAGAATATTTTCTCTTAATTCAGGTTTTTCATTGCAGATTTTTTAACCAGTAAAAATAAAAGTAAAAACAAAAATTATAATGATACTTTTTTCTAATGATATCGACCAAAGATACCGTTTTAAATATACAATCAGTTAAAAACAAAATTTCTATTTTAAATGTTTTTATTTTAATGATAAATTGGTCAAATTAGTTTTTTTTTACCCGAAAAAATAATATTTTTTAAAATTTATTATTCAGCTGAACAGTATGTTTCAAAAGAAACTTAAATGATTTTACAGAGGTGGAAGCAAAGTAAACTAAAAAAGGAAATAAAATTATGAATCTAACCAATTCTAAGTGATCTTATGTAGTTGCATCTATGTTGTAGAAAACTAGGTCAGGTGGTGCCCAGCTTTGTATGCCTGGAAATTAAATTTTCCCATGAAAGAAAACCCGTTCCATTTTAAATTTTTAAATCAAGAATACTCCTGTCACCTGGGGTTCTATAAAGTTCCTCAATCTAAATTTGATGGAAATCAGTTATAGGGCTGCCGACCGCCGAGTTCTCAAATCAGTTATAGGGCTGCCGACCGCCGAGTTATCAAATCAGTTATAGGGCTGCCGACCGCCGAGTTATGATCGGGCATCCAAACAATAAAAAAACACGAGATTTTTTTTTACTCATATTATACTAAAGAGATCAGTTGATCAATTAAACAAAAGATTTAGATTTGATTATTTTATTTCGATAAAATTTGTTTTTTTTACACAGAAATTAAAAAATGATAATTTTTTATTTTTAATATTCAGCTTTGTGCGCAGTTTGTCTAAATAGAGATAACAAAAAATTCAAAGAAGTGTGAACAGAGAATTAAAACGAGAAAAAATTAATTTGCATGATTATTTCTAGTGAATTATTTTTTTAAAGAAAATGATTAAAAAATTTAATTGTAAAAATATTGTTTCAGGATGATCTCTCCGACTCTTCAGAAAGCTCTATGTCGGACTTCTCAGAAGACGAGATGAAGGATATGGAGTTGTGATCTTCATACTTCAACTCTAGGCATACATTCATGCAATATCCAGTGGGTGGGGGGGGGATTTAAAGAGATGGGTGTCTAAAAATTATGGGGGGGAAACATTCTGAGAAAAGTTTTTCATAAGAGGGGGGGATTTTTCAAGAAAATAAACACACCCGTCCTTACATGAATGCTCGTTACAGGTTGTAAGTAAACTGTACTTGTACAGCTGTACTGAGCACTGTACACTGTACAGCTACACTGAGCACTGTACAGTGTACACTGTACACTTCACACTGTCTAGAGTGTACACTGAACATTGAGCTGTGGATAAAATAATTTTTAAAAGTGATAAAGAATAGAGGAATTTTATGTACATTCAGACAGCAACAGTTATTGAAAACTAGAAACTAACCTTAACCTTTTCATCACAAAGGAGTGAAAAATGTTTAGTTTTTGATCCCTGCCAATATATTTTTATGTTTGTTTTGTCTTAAAATTCGGATTTGAAATAAGTCATCCCAACTTTCTCTTAATGCCATTGTTCTGCAAAGGAAATGAGAATTCTTGGATCACATGATGAAGAAAACTTCCCCATTTACAGATATACAGAAGTCAGTAGAACGTGTAAATTGAATGAAATATTTTTACAAAAATTCTTGTTATGCCTACACCCCCCTCACCGTTCAAAAAGTTTAAATAATTATGATGAAAGGTTATACACTATACAGATCATAACAATACTGTTATAGAATATTTTTGTTATTTCGCTAGTTTTAAGTCGTCATTATTCATTTTTTTGTTGCTAATTTACATATTTTGACAAAGTCTTGACAATTTCTCTTTAGCAGTGATTTTTGCGCTACATGAGTAAATTATTGTGTAAATATTATATAAAAAGATGTTATTTTCCAATTACCAAAATACCCCCTCTCCCAGCAAATACTTCATTTTCGCACTTTCGTGAAAATCCCCCCCCCCCCCTGGTCCTTTATATAGTGCTTTTTTTTGGAAAATAACCTAAATAATTAATTATAGTGAAAAATAGCGAGATAAAATTTTTTAATTTTTTTTCCATCGCTTAAAAATGCCATGTTTACTTTATGTAAAGTCAGACTGAGAAATAAGAAAAAAGTCTAAATTAAACTCAACAATTTTCCGATTTAAAGAGTAATTCAGCTCAAACTAAAAATTTAAACCTCACATATTTTTTTTTAAATTTATTGCCTGAAAACTGTTTTCAAACTAAGTCACATTTATATTACATTTATGCCCTTTAATTTCAAGTTGGACTTTACTTAGCTCTTTCGGAACATATACTAAATCAAAATTTTTACTGTAATTCATTGTATAACTGTAAATTTAAGATAAATAAATTAGATTAAAATAAATCAAGCTGTTTCACGTTGAATGAACAAAATTGTTTATCATTTTAAGTTTGTTTAATAAAACGTTTAATAACGTTATTCTAGCTGTTACAGATAGCTTTAATTCAGCTTTGCAATATTTTATTTTTAAAAATGGAAAACCTTGGGCCGTTTTTAGCAAATATTTTTTGTCATGGTCAAACTTTGACATGGACAATCTAATTTAACAAGCAAATTTTGACCGTGAAATAAATATGGGCTAACCGACTTATTGCACATAACGTGACTAAATGATTGCTTTAAGATCGTCAGAGATTTAATTAGGATTTTTCCATTCTTGAAAAAAATTCTGTTCTTTGTTGACACGTTTTAAGAAGTATCAAATCGTTCGTACAACACGATATAAAAGTCGTCTTTGAACTTTTATTTTTTAGGGTTTATCTGTATATATAATGAATCTGACAAGCCAGGGACCAACAGAAACTAAGAAATACATGAAAAGACACAAGAAGAACAAACTTTTCTTTGACGCTGTTTAATTAATTGGCTCGTCGTTCATTTTATACCTTTGGAAGTATCTTAATGCAAGAACAATTGCCATGCAATCTTATTTAAAAAATTTCAAAGAACACAATTTAAAAAGCCTGTCTCTAAATCCCCCTTCCCCCTGAAAAGTTCTTATATTCAAGCCCTTGAGCTTCGATTTTTGACAAAAAAAAACTGCTTTTGGGGGTCGATTGAATTTCTTTACTTATATAACGGATTTTGCAAAAAAAGTCGTCCTCATTACTTTTAATATTCTGTTTACGATATTGCAATTTCCAATCTTACATTTAATTACTTTTTGGGGTCTGTCCTAGTATACGATTTTTGGACCCCCCCCCCAGGCCCCCCCCCAAACAGGATAAAATAACAAGTTTTAAGC